GAATTTGGAGTGATGAATTTGAATTTGGAGTGATGAATTTGAATTTGGAGTGAGAAATTTGAATTTGGAGTGATGAATTTGAATTTGGAGTGATGAATTTGAATTTGAAGTAAGGAATTTGAATTTGATATCTGATTTATTATTGACGTTGCCCTTGTGGGCCACCGTAATATAATGCCTAGGCTATTGTATTGATTTTGGCCATTTTCGACTGAGACAGTCCGTATAAATTGACGATTACATATAAATTTCAAAATGTTTGACATGTTTACTTTGCAGTCCACCAAACAGCCTGTCTAAATTTATATTTTTTATCAGGTTTTTCAATTTTCAGGGGTTGAAAATTTCGAAAAGAAACAAAAATAATTTTTTGCTCTGCTATTACCACTGGCTATTACCACCATAGATATAGATTACCACATTACCTGTAATTGCATGACGTCATTTTTTTCCAAACAAACCGCGTGGCGCGCGCTGTCACGGCAGACTGGTACTGAAAAAAATGGCGACTTGTGATTTTTTATAAAACTTTATTTTTGTGAACTTTTGTTGTATTTCCCGTTAAAAATATGAACGAAATGTGGAGCAAAAGAGTTCTCAAGTTAAATTCATTACCATAGGTGTGCAAATTGTGGAAATCGGTTCAGGAAAAAGTTTCATTATTTATATTGATTTACAAGAGGCAACAGGCCACAATAAATTATTATATTTATATATATATATATATATAGTCAAAGTTATTAAAGTACCCGTTGCTGTACCGTATTTCAGCCGTATTTGTTCTTTGATATTGTGGTTAATTTTTTATCATGAGTGAAACTGAAATGGCAAGCAAGAGGCAAGCCGGCAATCCACCCGATTCTGTTACAGGTTTCAAAACCATCGAAACAATTGGCAAACTGGTCGTTTTAGTAATCCAACGTTTTTGGCGACTTTGCAGCGCCGCTATGCTAACGTTGCTATTACTGTACTGGCTATACGGTGGGATAACCACGTTTCTTTTACTAACCGCAGCTGTCCTTGGCGTGCTATATTTCTACCAAGATGCATTGCTGTACTTTCCAGATCAACCCGAGTCCTCCCGTGTCTTTGTGCAAACACCCCATAAATTTGGTGTACCATTTGAGAATTTTTATCTCAAGACACGAGATGGTATACGGATTAATGTGATGCTAATTAAGCAACCGGCGCCTCGTTTGGCGGTCGCACCGACGTTGTTGTTCTTTCATGGAAATGCCGGCAACATTGGCCATCGGTTAATCAATAGTCATGCCTTGTACAAGAACTGCGGTTGTAATGTGTTCCTCGTCGAATATCGAGGTTATGGTCGGAGTGATGGGTCACCCTGTGAACGTGGTAAGTACTGAAAAAACCCTTAAATTTTAAACCCTGAATTTTGCATCAAACATGTTGCACTGATTTGCCCTTCATTTGTTGATTTATTTATCTTAGGTCTAATTCTTGATGCTCAAGCTGCAATGGATTATCTAATGGGCCGCAAAGACATTGACAGTACCAAAATTATAATATATGGTCGATCTCTTGGCGGCGCTGTTGCTATTGACTTGCTTTCCTTGCAATATTTTGCTGACAAGGCTTTTGCAATGGTTGTGGAAAACACGTTCACAAGTATACCTCACATGGCCGACCAACTTATAGGCGGACTCAACCGACTCCCAATATTTTGTTTTCGAAATCAAGTATGTTGTTCCTTGTACTATAAAACCATGTTATTTAAAATATGCATTCAAACACTCATTAATAATTCATAAGCTTATTGGCAAATCATGTTAACCATAATATGTCATGTGCAGTGGCTTTAAACCTGATAAAATACTCCTAATTAGTATTCTTTGTATAAAGAATACTAATAAGGCAGTATCTATTGTAGTCGTGTCCTCATTAGTATTTTTTGTATAAAGAATACTATTATAAGGCAGTAAATCTATTGAATTTGTAGTTGTGTTTGAAGCCGTTCTATAAACTCACAGGTCGTGTTTTATTGGGTCTAAAGCCACTTGCGCTGCACGCTTGTGGCTTTAAACCTAATAAAACACTCCTGCTCATTTATTAAACAGTACTTAACCCACCCTACTTTATCATATGATTTTGTCCTGTCTAACCTATGGTCTAACGCCAGATTATTTTACACTGCCTAATGGGAGGCGATTTATTTTTATTTGTCGAAGGGAGTGCTAGTACTTTGTGGGTTGAAAAGAACTCAGAATTTTAAGTTATCCGCTAAAAAACTTGCTATTAAGGCCTGGCATCTTTTGCACCGTAGGAAGGGAAGGGGTTTTGTAAAAGCTAGTACGTCATATTGGCATATTTTTGGCAGAAATGTATAATTTTATTTAACCCTTCCCATGTGTGTAGAGAATTAACTTACGATTGTTATTTCTATGTATTGTAGTTTGATTCGTTAAACAAGATTCGGAGGATAACAACGCCATCTTTATTTTTGTCTGGTTCTAATGACCAGCTTGTACCACCTACCATGATGTATAAATTATACGAGGTATAAAAGAAACTGTATTTAATTACAAGTAACATGTAATCATTGTAATGTGGGAATTGACCTATAGATCCACAGGCATTGGTCTCCCAGGGCAGTAGCCCATAGGAGGTGGTGTAAAATTTTGGGGCACTATGTTCAGATTATATATTCCTAGCTAGAATCACTTAGTTTCCTACGCAGTCTGTTCGCAGGTCCGAGGTTTTACCTCGGACCCGTGAACAGGCTGCGTAGGAGACTAAGAATCACTGTGATGAACACTAGTTTACCCCTGAACAAATAAAATTGTCTGGCATTAAGGTAAAATGAAGGTATAGGATCATTAGGGTGCAATGCCACTTGAAAAGTTACCTTGTCTTTCTAGAACTGCTCTGCAGCTGTTAAGAAACTAGAATCGTTTGAATGTGGGACTCA